CCACAGTGATCACCCATGCCTCCCTCCACCAAACTCACCCACATAGACCTGAAGGTGGCGTGCCGGTGGGCCAAGAGCCTCACTTCCAGCCCGGCCTATGAGCCTTCCCAATGACCACACACCATCCAGCCCTCAACAGCCCAGTAAAGTGGGCACAGGGTTATTATCCAACCATTGGAGAGGGGAAATGTCTTGCTCATACCACACAAGCAAGTAGCAGAAGCAGGCATTGGACCTGAGAGCTGGTGCCTGATTCTTCCCCCACACCTTCCCTGAGCCCAAGGAAGAGGAGAACCTGGGAGGGCAGCACCCTGAGACATGGGTCTGGCTGGGAGAGGAGGGGCTGCACCATTGTAAATTTTGAACCAGCGTCACTAGACCCCAGCTGCTCATAAGGGGCTGCTCAGATGTCCAGTTGGTATTTCTGGGTGGCAGAAGGCCCCCGCTCAAAAGGCACAGGAGCCAGAGGGAGCCCTTCCCTGGCTCTCATCAGTCCGTGGTCACACAATAGTTATCATTGAACATCTACACATGGCAGAGGCTGGGACAAAGCCTAGGACAAATGGCTCTGGCTGGCTGCTTCCTGTGGTCTGGACAAGCCATTTCCCTATCAGAGCCCTAAGGAACTCAGTGCATAAGGCTGGGGATGGGGCCACAGTAGGCTTGGGTCACTGGGCAGACTGGACAACTTTTACTGCAGCAGAACCAATGACAGGAAAGAGGGGAAGTCACTTCATGAAGAGAAAAAGGTAGCATAGTATGATCCTCCCACCAAAGAGAACGAATGACAGACAAGTAGTCAGAGAAGCACCAGGAAAAGCCCCAATACTGGTAGCTTTTTGTTTCTTTCTTTTCTTCTTGAGCTCCTGCCCCGAATTATCTGCAATGCACAAACTAGGGAAGTGAGGAGAGCATCAGGATCTATCTGTATAGCCATAGCTGCTGCCCTCAGGAAGGTGACAGCCCAGCAGGGCTCCCACTTCTCTGTGCCTGGTGCTCTCCTGCCAGAGCCAAGATTCTTTGGAGACATGGGAGAAGCTGACAACCTTGTATGTCACTTGGTCAGATTGCTGAAAAACCCCTCCCTGACTCCTCCCAGCTTAGTGCTGGGCACCAGGAAGCGGCACTGGCCTGTGGGGAGTATGAGTCCCAACCTAATTGTGGGAAGCCCCCCATGTCCAGCAGGTCCCCAAGGACAGGTCACGGGAGTGCCTCATCTGAGAAGGGAACACATTAGCCCTGAAATCTCAGGCTCCAGTGCTCAGCATAATTCCTGCCAGGCAACCCCCAGCCTGTGCTGGGCGGAAGCAGGACCCTCCACTGTCCCCTGGCGCGAGCTTCCTGTCTGCCCTGCCGGTGGAGGTGGGGATGAGTAATGTCCGTTCCCTGCCCCCATGCATCCCTTCTGGAGGCCAGGCCTCAAGTTTTCCATTCAGGAAGGGGCGCAGTGAGGGGCCTTGTAGAGTCATGGCAGGGGAATAGGAGGAGGAGCAGCCAACAGGGTTAGGACCCTGGCCCTGCATGACTGCCCTTCAGGATACCTCCTGGGTATCCTGACTACCTCCTGGGTGTGCGTGCACACATCTCCATCCACTCATTCGCTCACCCATGCTTTCCCAACACTGCCTTGTGCTGGGTCCTGTCTTATGGCCCCTGGGGTGCTAACAGGAGGAGGAGGAGGAGACACAGGCACTAAACAGAGAATCCCACAGATGGATCATGATAGGGTGATGGGCTTTCAGCTCCAAGGCAATACCAGACCTTAAGGGCTCTGCACAACATCTCAACGGCTTTGGCAACTCCTAGGCCAGAAGCTTTCCCAAGAACACACAGAGCCCTCCCTGACAGACCCAAGAGAAAGCTCAAAGCCAAGACCAGATCTTGGGCTATGCATGGGTGGGAGGAAGAAGGAAGCTGTGTCTGTCATTCAGTGTGTGAAGACCCTTGCACCTCATACAAAGGCCGGCCAAAGCAGAGGAAAGAGGGAGCCTCTGTTGGTGCTGGCCAGACTTCCTCCACCCTTAATTTCCTCCTCTGTGAGATAGGACAAGGTTGATGGCCTGAAACAGGCCTCAAATGCAGACCCAAATAAGAGAGCACTGTGGAAGGAGGCTTGCGGCCACCATCCAAGAACAGGTCCTCAGCAAAGGAGGTGGGGAAAGTACCACAGGAAAGCCTGGGGAGAGAGGGCAGGAGGACAGGAGACAAGTCTAGTGGGGAGAGCTGGCGCGCTCTCCATTCTCTGGGTTCAATGGTCCCGACCACGGGACCTGCCCTACCAAGGCCCAGCCTTCTGCTTTTGTTAAAATTTAAAGAGAGAAGGCGGAAGTGGTGGCATAGGTCTGTGGCCCCAACACTCAGGGCTGAGGGAAGGGGACTCACTAGTTTGAGGCCAGTCTGGGCCATATAGCAAGACCCTATCTCAAAAATCAAACACAAAGATATTTTAAAGGACAACCCTAACTGACTAACCCTAGAGGTATAACCTGTACGAACTGCCTGGCTTCTTGCCACCACTCTGGCTGGTATCACAGGTAGACGGGGTGGATGTGCTCAGGAGCCCTGCAGTTCTGGCACGCTGGGGTACAGTCTCAGAACAAAGAAGCCAACTTGTCCCCAACAAGGGGGGGGGCTCTATTTTCCTGTCTGCCATGCTCAAGGGCAATCTCTATAAATGTCAGCTTGCCTTTTCATTTGGGCCACAAACATTCTGCAGACCCCTGTAACAGGCCAGGCATGCAGCTGGGGGAGCACAGGGCAGCGCGATGGCCAGCACTAACACAGAGCACAATGTA